CTCGGGATGTTCCAGCCTCTACGACTTTTTGTGAGCCATCTCCTTTATGTAAATCTCTCTCTGTATGTATTTATATGCCTTACTGGCTTTTGTTCTTTAGAGAACCCAGCCTAAGACAGGCCCCAAACAAAACGCCAGCACCCCTCATGGGAGCAGGTAACAGAGGGCGGCCTCTCTGATGCCCAGGCTTGCCAGACAGGGAGCAGACCCATGGGCATTATATTAGACCATACCCCTCCCTCCCCCCGATAACTGGAAACTGTACATCCCTAGACCCTCCAGGAAGGAGGGAAATGGAGACCACATAGGGACTTCCATCCCTGTGAAACCGGGGGTTCCTTTTCATGGTCCGTGAGGGTCCCAACCCTGGCCAGAGACATACTAGGGCGAGGTCTGACCACCACGCCCAGCATGTGTGACAGGGAGAGTCCTTGGGTGAGACCTGGAGCAAAAGACGGACACGTGGGCAAAAGCATCTGAGTGAGCGTCTTCAGTGGTTACAGCACACACAAGGGACAGGGAGATGAAAAGACAAGGGCTCTAGGCTCAGTAGCCTTTGAGGAGCTGGAAATTCAGCCCTGGCAGAGACGACAGAGAAGCCAGTTCCCAGATCAGCGGCAGGAGGGTTGTCACCGCACAGAGTACGGGATGAGCTCAGAGGTCAGCTGTGAAGGGCGAGACTGAAAAGTAGCCTGGCTGCTACAGCTGCCCATGCTTTCTGCAGCCGTCCTTACCGCTGTGGGCTAATAGGGTTGTGGGGTTCCCTATAAACTCTCGCACCTTTCAATTATCCTTCCTATTTACTGGGGTTAAATTTCCTAATCCTAAAAAGAAAAAACTGGCCTTGTTTAACAAGAACAGGGCAAGAGTTTTGCAACTGGCTCCCTGGGGTGGGGAAATTGAATGATCAATCACCTGACCCAGCACCCTGTGGCATGGATGTATATGGGGGGGGGGTGCGCAGAGACTCCACTTCTCTGCAGCCCTAGGGAGCAGACCCTCAGGCTGTGCTCCATACCCCAATCTGGACTCAGTGGGCACATTTAACACCCAGAATCGGGCCTCACTCCATCTGGCCAAAGGGCAGGACAAGACCTTTAATCAGAAGTCCCACAGCTGGGCAAGTTCTTCATTAACCAGGGACTGAAGGAAACAGGAGGCTATTAGTGTGAGCTGTTGCCTGTGACAGAAAAACCCAGGCCTTGTCAAGGGTCTCCAGACGTAGGCAGGAGTGTGTGCCAAGGAGCCCAGCCAGGAGGGGGTGACAAGGCCATGCATCCCCCATATCACAACTCATAGAAGCCTCATCTTTTAAATGACTTCCATGCCCCCACGGAAGCTGTCCTGACAGGACCCAAATGTCTCACTCACAGCTTGGAGAGAAAGAGAGTGTAATTTCAATTAAGGTCCCAGGCTGTCAAAAACATCAAGTTATTAATCTCCTTGTGGCAAATGTGAACCGGGACCTGCTTACACAGCCAATTGAGCATGCTCTAAATTAGTGTTTGCAGGTAATTGATTCAGCTGCCAGCCCCATGCCAGCCGGCTACAAGCTGGTTATGCTACTAACATTAAATAATATGAGACGGTAAAATGGACTGCCTGATTAGACCTGCAGTCAAATGCTGTTAGAGTCCGATTTACCCAAACATTAATGTCTTATTGGCTTAACACAATTTACTACACCTCAATTGTGGAAAAGCATTTCCATTTCCTCTGGAACAGCGCTCACAGGCGCAGGCAGCATAAAGGGAGAGTTGCTTCTGCAAATGCCATCGGCTCACTTACTCTTTTTTCACCCTCAGTCTGTAAGTGGGCTAAACACACTCAAGCCTCAGCACAACTGTCTCGGGGTTTGTGACCTTTGGGAAAATCAGCCCCGTTGCCCCTGCCCGCCCACTATGCTTCCAGTCCCGACAGGCAGGAATCCCTCCCGACAGACGCCCAGCAGGTCTTAGGAGCGCTCACTGGGCTTGCAGGGTGCGATCGGCACACACACACAGAGCAGCTCGCTTTCTCTGAAGTGGGTGAGTCAGCAGGCAGTCTGGCTTCCCTGGTCCTTCCTGGATGTCAGTCACGGCCTGCGTTAAAAGGGCCACGCTGCCTGGCCAACCCACATCTGCTTTAGAAAGATTTTACGTCCCCCAACTATGCAGTTAAGAAAAGATTTCTGAAGTTCACGGTGCGGTCAAGAATGGCAGAAAAGGAGCTCAGAACACTTTCTTCTCTCTCCCATCCAACCATCTAACCACCTCGGGTTTCCTGACACCAACTGTGCCTCAGACACTGGACAGATAAAGAAGCCAAGTTCCCCGAAAAGCTGCCTCTGGCTCCCAAGGACACAGGCCAGCAACCAGAAAATGGGCACAGAGCGATCCAGGCAGTTAGAGGTAGAAAGAAGAGCCGGTCTACCATGTGGCTGCAGATCCCCCCTGTGGGGCAGTCAGGGAGGGTGCCTGCCTCAAATCTGCCGGACACATTTCCCCAGACAATCAACTGTCTTTTCACCATCTTTGAGGCAGTGATATCCTCTGCCCCCAAAGGTCACACCACCCAACTGTCCTTCAGGAGCAAGCTCCTGCCGTTTGTTCTCTTCATTTCTGACTCAGAGGAGCTTTCCCTTTGGAGCAGCCCCCACCCCAGGACTGCCCCTGTCCTGCTCTGAGCTCTTAGGGACCCCTAGATCAGATGGCCTCCTGCTGTACATCCTATACCCACCACAGGGGGGCCCCGGCACACAGCAGGTAGACACCAGTGAGCACACCTGGCAGGGGTTGCTGAATGAATGCCACTCAGCACCCTTCTGCGGCTGCTCCTGGCCACTTGGCTCACGGGCACTCTGCTGGCCTCAAGCTCAGGCTCCTTCTTCAGGAGGAGGCAGCGGAGGAGCCAAGCAGGAATCCTGGCGGGAGGGAGTGCTGACCAGTTTGTAGACAAAGGCACGATCTCCCGAGGACTCAGCTTTAACAAGCCAGCCTCCTTCAAACAACAGCCAAATGCAATGTGTAGACTTCTTTTGGATCCGATTCAAGTAAACCAACTCCAAACAGACAGCGTTAGACCAATACGGACTAGAAAGTGATAACATTAAGAAAATTCTGGTTCATTTGTTAACTGTGATAATGGCATGACGGCTCTGTAAGGGGAAAAAGGAATATCCCCATCAGCCGAGATAGCTGCTAAAGCATTTACAGGTGAAATGGCATGGCGTCTGTGGTCAGTTTTAAATATTCCAGCAAAATAACAACAGAACTAAACCAACCAACCTGATGGGGAATCGGAGGATTCATAAGTCAGCTCTATTTTTGCAGAAATTTGAAATTTCCCATTAAAAGGAAACAAAGACCTACCTTACCCAGGAGGAAGCAAGGCACTGGGAAGGAAGTTTCCAAGGGCCCCCCAAGACCTATTCACAGGCAGGCTGTGCGCACAGACCTCCGTAAGGTGAGGGGCTGGCTGTGGCAGGGTCGGCGTGCTGGGACACTGGGCAGGAGGGCGGCTCAGGGCCCCTCCCGGGAGCCCCCTTCAGAGCTGGACTCCCAAAGCTTAGGCTGCCAGTGTGCCGGCATGGCCGGGCTCCGTGCTGGGACGAGCTATTTCTGCTCTACTTCCTTGGTTACGTTTATTTGAGGCATCAGCTATGATCACTATGAGTGAACTCCACTGGGGACAGGACTCTAGGCAGCACCAATCTGCTGCCCAGCCTACCTCCTGGGCTGGCCCCACTGAACTCTTCATGTCCCAGAGACTCTCGGGGCCAGGGACCCTGGGAATACCAGACCACAGATTCTGCACTGCAACAGGAGACCACACGGTGGAGGTGACGGCTGGGGCAGATCTGGATGCCCTCCCCAGCCTCCTCAGAGCCAGGGGGCATGGGGCCACAACAGAGCTGGGTCCTCGATGAAACACTCGTTACACGCCCCTCCAGGAAGGCCACAGCAGCCGGGGGCCTTGAAGGCGATTTTCTCCCCTTATTGTCCAGGGTCCGAGGAGAGAAAGATGAGACTCACATTCAGCATTCCTTTCAGGGTTAGACTTAAAAAGACCCTATCCCCATGCCACTGCGACTGTAAACAAAAACACCCACACTGTCCGTTGGGGACCCCTGCACCTTGCACCGGCCAGGCGGGCAGGCCACAAAGGCCGGCCGGGAGCTGGGAAGCCAGCATCCCCCAGAGCGGTGTTCTGGACAGCAGGGCTCTGAGGGTGGCCTGAGAGGCTCAGGGGGTAGACTCAGGCCCTCAGGGCGGGGTGGGGCGGCAGCAGCCAAGCTCTCACAACCCAGGTAAGAAAGCGGGTCAGATGGGGGAGACACGGCAGCCTCTTCAGCACCCCTCCCCAGGGGAGCTTTCAGGTGGTGCAGTCACGGCAGGGGAGCCTGGAATGAGGTCTCTGGCCCCAGGACACAGGTAGGAGAGGGGCCACTGGGACAGCCGGGGTCTCGCCCACTGGCTCTGTCACACCCTGGGCAGCAGCGTGCTGACCCGTGGGCCCTGGAGCAGGGCTGAGGAGCTGGCCGGGCTCGCCTGCCGTGGCTTGCTGCAGGCCTAACTGTAGCCAACGGCCGATGGAGCCCTCCAGAGCACTTCATGAGCCACTTAACCGCGCTGTGACGGTCATCCAAGCACAGCAGACGCAATGGCAGCGTTCACACAGAAAAACGGCAAGCTGTTTTACTAGTGCTTTCAGAGGCACAAAAGCAGCTGTTTGGTAAAGTTTCCCACAAATTGCAGAAACAAAGTCCAAGGGTGGAATGACAGGGCACTAAACCACCCTGACAAGTAATCAAAGACCACTGCCATCAAACATGCTGCCAAGAGCCAGGGAGGTGGCCACGGTCGGAGGGAAAATAATCCTTCCTCGCCATCCCAAAGCCCTGCTCATAATCCCTGCTCAGTCTGTGTGCTGCTGGGGCGCCTCATCTGTTACTTGCTTAGGGAACATAAATTACTGTTTTTTACATTTTAATCTTGACCCAGAGAAACACAGCAGCTTACCTTTCCATCTCATACTCTTTCATTCCCACTTTTACAGCCTTCATCACCTGCAGCATGGATATTAAGCAAAGAGATTTGTATTAAGGAGATAAGTTAACACTGCCTTATAAATAATGGATAGCATTTTTTCAAAAGAACCTCGTCTTTAAAAAAAAAAAAAAGATACACACACACACACACACACACACACACACACACACACACACACA